CGACGATACGACCACGGGTGGCAAGAGGAGACCAAGCTGCGTCTAGTGGTACCTACCACGATGATTCAAGAGATATTACAGAACTGCCACGACTCGTTGGAAGGTGGTCACCAAGGCGTCGTCAGGTCATTCCACCGAGTTAAGTCCAACAATTACTGGATTGGGTTGTATGCTGAAGTGGAGAAACATGTGAACTCGTGCCAGGATTGTTGCTCAAGTAAGAGTCGACCTCAGTTGCGAGGATACTCGCCAGGCAATGTACTGGCCGAACGACCGTTCCAGATTGTCTCTATGGATTTCGTGATACCTCTACCAAAGACACGCAGGGGCAACACTGCCCTGTTACTATTCCAATGCTCGTTCACTGGATTCGTAATGGCCAGGGCTATGTCCGACATATCTGCGCTCAGCGTAGCGCGAGTGTCCGAAGAGTGTGTGTACCGACGGTTCGGAGCACCATCGTTGATTCGGCATGATCGAGACCCCAGGTTCATGAGTGAAGTTTTCCAAGCCTTCGCCGAGATGGTGCAGTCACGATCACGAGCGACTTTAAGTTACCGACCGCTAGCCAACGGCCAACAAGAACGCTCAGTGAAGTCAGTGATGACTTCTGTTCGCGAGTACGCGAAGGACCCTCTTCAGCAGGATTGGGATGAAATCGCGGAGGGGTTAGTGTTTGCAATCAACACCTCCCAGGACACGACAAGGAAGGATACACCGTTTTACCTCGTTCACGGCTGGGACGCGCAATCTACACTCCGGGCGATGTCTTCATCACTCGGACGAGGATCCAATAGACAGTCCAATGCGATAGCGTGGCGTCGCGAAGTCAACCGACAACACGAAGTTGCCTTGACTATGGCTAAGGACTATCAAGCGGCGGAAAAGGAACGGAGAGCCAAGGAACACAACGAAGCGCCAAGCCGACTGGAGAAAGCCGCTGTATCAGGACCGAGGGAAAATAGAAGCTCGGTGGATTACATGGAAGCTTTGCCAGTCTCGAACAATGCTGTAGAGAGCCCACTGAGGTCTCTTTTCGAGATCGGAGGCAGAGTGTGGCTCTACATGGAACGCGTGAAACACGGTCTCACCAAGAAGTTAGCACATCGGTGGCATGGACCATTCCGGATCAAACGAAAGGTCGAAGAATTCGCGTACGAGTTGGAGTTACCAGACAAGAGCGGATACCGCTTCTACCCCGTTGTGCATGTGTCGAGACTCAAGGCTGTAAACGAGTATCCAAGTCGACC